CACCATGAAAGAACCACGATCCCTCAAAGATAAAGTTCAAACTGCAGGTCACACAAGAGAACTCCACCTACGAGATGTTTGCTGGAGGCAGGCAAATGGTGAGTATGAAGAAGTCCCCGTCTGTGTTTATTCTGTTGAAGTTCTTAAGAAAATTTTGCTATTGATACCAGATATGAACACACCCTGACAGATAGGTTTCCTCAAAGCTAATCTCAGCTTACCTATTACTTGTGCCCCATGAATTCAAGAGTAAATCTACTGTTCAGTGATCTTGATACCTGCCATGTAACAGCCTAAGACAGTCCAAGAGAAATGGTTGTGATTTAAGATATTTTCCGTACCATTAAAAAAAAAAAGGCCAGTCATAGTATTTGATTTATCAAAATAGGGAACTTGTTCACGGTTCAATACCTATTTCGTTTTTACTTACAATGGAGCTATTTTTAAACATGCCAGTCTTACTTCAAACTAATTTTACCCATTGCGAAATTCAGTCTTGATATCACAATCTGGGTGAGTTTTTTTTTCTTCATCAGAAATGATTGTGTTGCTTAAGTTGGCTAACTGAAATGACAGAAAACCAATCAGTCGCTCTGCAAAATGAAATCTGCATTCTTTAAATGGAAAAAAGTATGAATAGGAAAATATTTTTTTTGTTTAAATATAAGAGAGGTTTTCATTTCTTCTTTCAGAGCTGCCACGAAAGAAGCAGCTGACGTTTCTATGTGGCGTGAAAGTGGAAGTCAGCTTCTCAGCACTGTTCTCTAATGTACTGGTCGCTTTTGCGACTATAAAGACTACACCTGATCAAACCCAGGACTGTACTGTCACGCTAAGTAGCAATCCTGTAAGTACTTATGTTACACTTAAACAATCAGATATTTCATTTCAGACTTTACTGTTTTCAAAGGAAGAAATACGTAGATCTGAAAGGTGATAAAGGCATAAAAAAAGAGTAAAAAAAAGGTGTGCAGTGTGCACAAATTTATATCTTAAACACACATTACTTCCGTCATGCCTTCAATCACAAATATTTGTCAATATTTGTAATATTCACTTTTTGTGGAATTTATGTAAATACAAGCTGCAGTGTTTGACACCAATGTTTAAAAAAAAGAGGCCAGTTTGGTTTCAAAAACCAAACACTGGTTTTTTGAAACTAATGTTTCAAAAACTACAGCTTGTATTTCCATAAATTCCACATTGGTCATGACAGAATGTAATCAGTTTCCATTGCTGGTCTCTATAATGACCACTAACACCCCCTCTTATCCCCAAAGAGTACTTTGAGGAAGTCCTCTCCAAATATGGGCTTCCAGCATAGTGCAACCAATGACAAAGCAGGAAATCAAAGCAGTGTCATACACTTGTGCAATACATGTATTTGTCTGTAGGTGTAATCTCGGATTATACTGCCATCTTGTGGTTAGTTTGTTTCCTGAATTTGCCAGGGGTGATGTAGAGCGAATATTTTTATTGTAGTAACTCAACACATGTAATATTTATTAAAATGTGTATGGTTTCATTCCTTAGGCAATGGAAGACATATTTTCCAGCCCGGGTCGCTCAGAGGATATGGACTCACTACTATTAAATGAAACGCTTAATCCTGACTGTACTTTAAGACTTTGCTCTCTCCAGAAGCTGAAGGTATGTAGTCACTAAAATATTTTTTCCATCTGTTAACATTTTGTTTACTTATTTTACAATGAGTGTGATTTCTTTGTCATTTTGATAGGAATCAGTGGTACTCAGGGTGGATCTACACTATACTTACAAGGACAGTAATCTGCGGCACACAGAAAGCCAGCAGGTGGACATTGGAAAGCCTCTGGTTGCATCTTGTAAGCTGTACAGGGAGAATCACACAAGAGACAAAAAATCAAACAGTGCTACAGCTCAAAGCATGGGCAACATTTCACACAGCAAATCACAGCAGCGTCCGAATCTGGCTGCTCCGCATCGACATTTCACCAGAAAGGCAGAGTGCGCTGCCAAAACTCCAACTATATGCAGCAACGAACCTGAAGAGAACGATGAGAACGAACTGCTGGATTTACGACCATCTGAGTAAATACTGTAAAAAAGATTTTACTTTCTTTTTTATTTTTTTATAGAGTGATCATGCATTTTACCTGTAATTGATGATAAAAAGTAGATTGAGAATATATATATTCTTCATATGTTCGTTTCCATTGCAAGACAAAAATTAATAAAATACATAAACATAGAGAAATTTAAAAGATAACTGTAATATTTTTGATTTTTTTTTCTTGTGAGGAACACTTTATTTCAGTGGCAAGCTGGCTGGCCTATTGAAGACTACTTTAATAATCTATCTCATAAACAGTACTACCTTTATCTCTGCATTGTGGAACTTCAGAAAATATTGTGATATGTAGTTTTGTTTTAACATAAGAATAAATACTGTTATTTCTCTTTACATGGAAGTTTCTCATTCAGTTTGTTTTTGAACAATTAAATCACAGAAGTAAGCTGATTTTAATTTCTTCCTGACAAAATCCACATAATAACAAATGTGAAAGTCAAATATGTTTGCAAAACTTGTTTTTCATTAGGGAATTTGCACATTTTTGGATACTGAGTGTTAAGCTTATTTCACGAGGGAGGTCTTGAGTTCATTTGACCACATTACTGTGCAGTGCCCTGAAAAAAAATCTTCATACACCTTAAACTTTATCACTTTAATTAATTTTTTTTATGATTTTAAATTCAAAAGTTGCTCCAAACTGAAATCTGAAAAGTATTTTTAAGTCATCTGCCCTAACCTCTGTCACTCAAAATAAGAATCTGTGGAATCAGTTAATAAAAACAACCCACTTGCATGCATTTTAAGCTCAGCATGAATAAAGTTTATTTTAGATGGCTTTAAAGTTTTAATAAGGAACGTTAGAGAATTAGCAACACCATGAAGAAGAAGGCACACTGGAGAAAGGTCGACGGTGAAGTTGCAGAGAGGTTTAAAGCAGGGATGGGTTTTAAAAGAATTTCCCAGACTTTGAACAAGTCATTCAAGCAGGGAAATGTATTGCACAACTCCAAACCAAAGACGGGCTTCTCTACCTAATCCAAGGAAGTAGTAAAAAGGTTCACTGCACCCGCTGGTGGAGTTGTAGATGTCCACAGATCAGATGAGAGAATCTGCTAACAAGTTGGTGCACTCAAACGCAATGGTGCATTATGCTATGGAACTGTTTTGCTTTAGCAGAAATACAGTTGCATTGCTCAGAGCTGATGAAAAGATGTAAGGAGTTGAATACAGAGTAATAGAAAGAAATCTGTTAGAGGTTGCAAAAAACCTACAGACCAAGGCGGGGTTCACATAAGGACAATGAATATAGTAAGATAGCTATAATGTTTTAGGAGTAGACCAATCCCAATTAAATAATTTGCATTTGTAGAAAAAGATGAGACAGAATGTGGAAAGTTCCAATGAGTATCAATACTTTTGCAGCACACTGTGATAAAAACCATCAACTTACAGTTCGTCATGATGGCCCAAGTCCTTTTTTTCCAAAAGTAATTTAGCCTACATCACCTTTTGGCAATAAAAAGGGGGTGATTTCAATGCCAAAATCACTTAATGGAAAAAGGGGTCATTATTTTAGGACGAATTATTTGGTTCAATATTTGACAATAATACAAGTTAGTTATTCAACGCATTTATTCGCATGAAAGAGAAAGGTTATCTGGCTACTAAATGTATCATTAGCAAGCCAAAGTTGCAAAATCTGTTAAAGGGTCAAAAGATGACCGAGTTTTACTTTAATCTAGAAGCGAATCGAAGTAAAGCTACAATTTATTTTGAAGTTGATTAAAGCTGTTACTTGCCTTTCTTATCGCGATGTGCAGCAAGTCAAAATAAAGCAAATCAACTGTCGAGGTGCACGCTGCTGACTGATATGAATACATTTTACAACTTCAAAAATATTTCACGCAATGATGCTGGGCCGTTTTCTCTACATATACTTGGATTCGAATCCCCGGTCCCCAGCTCTGGTCATAGCTCGCCGTGATCGTATAGTGGTTAGTACTCTGCGTTGTGGCCGCAGCAACCCCGGTTCGAATCCGGGTCACGGCAGGGATGTTGAAAGAATCTGGGCGTTATTTTTCAAAAGTATTATTTTCTGAACATATCTCGCTACATTTGTATTATTAATAGGAACTTTTGTAGGGCAAAGTATTAGTACTTGTGTGTGTCGCCTACTTTGTCTATCCCAGTTAACTTAATAAAAATGAACCGTCATTTACATTAAATTTAAACAAAACAAACAATACTCACAATTTATTAAATAGCTTTCACCTATGGTAGTCTCATGGTGACATTAATTTGGTACAAAATAACGACTATTGATGATGTGTGCTCCTCGACACACATCAATTTCAGGTCAATTTCAATGTACGACCTGCAGGTGGCAGACCAATCCACTTTATTTTCATTCTCAAACACAGAAACATGAATTGCTGAGACACCTGAGGTCAGGGCTTTGGGGGTCAACCTTGTGAGGGTTTACTGGAAACCAGAAAATCAAACTGATAGTTTGTTTTAAATATATTTCTTTTACGCATAACTCCTTACAAGGATGTATTTTTAAAAATGGTTTTGATCCCACACAAAATGATTTATTTATGTCTCTGCCCAAAAGAGTCTTGGTTCTCTTGGGTGAATGAATCTGGGTAAAATTATACACTAGTGTTTGAGTACAGGAAAAACAAACAAACAAACAAATAAACGAAAAACCGAATTGTCCTATTTATGATTTGTAAGCCTGTATTGTAGCTATGCAGATAGCTGTGTCAGAGAAGCTGCAGAGTTGAAAAAAAAAAATCTGTATTGGAAATAATCCTAAAACCCAGACAAAACGCCTCACTCTCCTGTTGGCTCACTTTGACGTCAGTTTGCATTGGGACCCGCCCGCCTGCCGAAGTGGCAGCGGTGACTGGTGAGAGATAATCCTTTGCTCGACCACAGACACACACCATCCCCCGAGCTGCCTCCTGGATCTGGCTCCGGATCTGGATGCGGGCATCCTTTGGATTTTGCGCTGAACAACGCGGACCCCCCACTGCAAAGAAAACTTAAACGGGACAACAATGGTGGCTGAATACGCGGCTGCTGGTCGTTTCGGGGACCGGGGATTGCGCTCGGTGTGACATTCACTTGCACGCTGGTGTGGAGTTTTTATTGTTCTGGTCCCGCAGACGCAGAGACACAGCGGCGAATCTGTGGAGAAGATGTTGAGCCGATTCATGAGTGGCAGCCTCAGGAATCTGGAGCGGGAATACAGCTGCACTGTCAGGCTGCTGGACGATACGGAATATACGTGCACCATTCAGGTTAGTCACCTGTCGACCGCTCCGCAGAGGACCGAATAGTGCTGCAATTGTGTCTGCTCATGCGAGTGTTTGAACAGAGGATCAGTGCCTGACTGCCACAATGCTGGCGTTAACTCCCACCAAAAACATCCAAAAATAGTGCAGTGTGTTTACAAATCTGCAGTGGAGGGAGGCATTTACCCACTGTTGCTTTAACCATCAATGAGAATTATGCTGTTTTTACCCATTATTTACAAAATAGTTGAAGCTCATTTTGGGTGGAGAAGGCACGTTATAATTTTTTGAAGTCCTGACGCAAGATTTTCAGTCTTGATCCAGGTCGTATCCCTGTAGCTCTGGCTGTATGTTTTGGGTCGTTGTCTTCCGGTCCAAGTCTTTTGCATCCTGTGAAAGGTTCCCTTGCAGGATTGTCCTGTATTTATCGCCAGCTGTGTTTCCATGAACACTGGCTGGTTTCTCTGCTGACAAAAAGCATTCCTCAGCATGACGCTTCCACTGCCATGTGTGATCTGAATGATGAATAGAAAGCCACACCATATTTTGGTGCCACATCCTATTTCTGACCTTTTTCAGAAGGTTAGAAAGTTTGGTTTTGGTCATGTGTGACCAAAGTCAATAATTCTTCTCCATGTTTGTACTGTGCCCTTCATAAATTTGTTTTATGGTTCCTAAAAACCAACTGCCTTCAGATGGTTGTTGGTATGTAATGAAAGCACACATTCCTAAAGGTATTAAAGGTATTTATTTAAATGATGTGTCTCCCATTTTATGTCAGTTTATTTGCCACAAATTTTTGTTTGGCCATTCAGTTTTCTAAGCAGTTTTCCATTAGTTACACACGTTAAGTACACACAAGCAATCCCATGAAATAACTGAAGTTGCACATTACTGATCTACATTCTTCCAAAATGTATCATGTGTTATCGAAGTGTAACTGTCACATGTATTTATTTATTTTTTCAATCAGGCCAAGTAGAAAAACTGGATTTTCTCAGAGAAAACATGCCGCTTTGAAACTTAAAACAAGCCAGCACTCTTGCAAAATGCTTCCCTGAGCCATTTGTCTCTGACAGCCTTGCTTTGATAACTGTGCAGGTTCTGGGCTCATGGCGATTAGACCAAAAAGCAGATGAGAGGACCTGTCACTTCAATTTCTAGTGAAAACGATTCAGTTCGTTGATCCTTTTTAGTTGTAAGAAATGGGAAAAGCCATCCTCAGGGACACTCTGCACATCACAAATAGATCTTTGCACCTGTCAAACAATGAAAAGCTGATATTAATAAGTCTTGCCACTGCAATATTGTCAACAGGTTATATTGTAATGCTCCTCTTCTTCCCATAAGCCACAATGAAATCGCTTACTGTAGTGCTGCAGGAGTGCGTCAGGGTTGTAAACAGACCTGTATTTGTTCTTAGAGAGCTGAGCAAGTGATGGAGCTGGGCCAGATGGACTGTGATACCAGCAGGTGTACTGTTTGCAGCAGAGTCAGGTAGCTGACGTCACCGGAGTGGATGGAGGGGCAGCATGGAGCGGAGTGAAACAGGAGAATGCTCTGCCATGACTGTCTGGCATCCTGATTATCTTTCCGTCAAAACCCCGTCCTGTAAGGGAGCAAGATAATCCACCTGACTGGCCACATTACTGATGTGTGTTCCACATTTAGTTGCTTCCCTCCAGGTTTTATGGCCTGCCAGCGGAAAGAAAGAAAAAAAAACTCTGGATATCAGGACACTGAGACTGGGGAATGCAAAGTAAGAGGCGGGTCATAGATTCTCAAAGCTGCACTTTATTCTCTCACTTTGTGTTCCAGTCTCTTTCTGTCCTGCTTCTGTATTTGTCCTATCCTGTTTTCAGAGTGCAGTGAGCTTATTTCCAGTAGACACTTGATTCTATCACACTCTGACTCTCAACCAAAACTTTTTTAATGGCTCCATTCTCATATTTGCCCCTGGCTTAGTTCATCATCCTACCATTGTCTTGGCTTGAATTTCTTACCTTGTAATATGTTTAGTTACCTCCTCATTTGTATCCCTCATTTGTATATTACAGCCACCTTCAGTAGAATTTCTAAGTACAAAATTAGACTCAGGAGGTTTTTGCCAGTTGGCTAGGAAATACACCCATCTTTTTAGTGCCATGATGGATGAACTTTAGTTTTACTTTAATAAATTATAGAGATTTCCAATATGCTGAGGGTAGAAAAAGTGAGCACTTATAATTACTTATGGCACCACAAGTAGATTCAACCAAGCTGCAGGTTGAATGAAGAGCCTCATGCCTTCTTTGCTTTGTGATTTCAGTTGATTTGTGGAGCACAATCAACTGTTCGTTTGGACTTTTCATTCAGTTGTTTTTATCGGAATACCATTAATCACTTTTCAGTTTTTTATTTTGCCTCACAAGGCTATATAAGATTTGTTATTATTAGTGAATATTATCTTTAAGATATCACATGCGATCACTTTCATTTAAATTTTTACTCAGCTGTGCTTCTTAAACTCTGTATAAGCTTTGGTATGGATGCTATGATCTATCAGGTGTTGGCACTGACAGCAGTGAGACTTCATTCAATAGGTTTTATATTTTATTGACATTCTAAGTGTGAAATTGTGATACTTGGGGTATATTAGTAAACAATGATTGTGTGCCAGATGTTATTTTTCCACATATCCATACACGAGAAACAGTGAGACATTTTGTTAAACAGTAAGTGGTAAAAAAAGTAAGTGATTATTTTGCCTCCACTGTCAAATCTAAATACACTAGACATTCCATTACTTTTGTGATAGCAAAAGTTGTTTAGATGTGATTTCATTTTCTCATATGCTGGGCAACGGTGGTGGAAGTCTGTCTTATTACCAATGAGTTGCTGGTTCAGACCCCAGCTCTGTCTATCTCAGTTAATGGGTCCTTGAGCAAGACACTTTACTCTGTCCAACTCTTCTGCATTGTCAGCGACTTTAGGCATTTGGGTGAGTTAGTCTTCATCAGTGCAGAGAGAGTGTCTGCACAGCGTATCAAGATATTAAATAATGTTATTACTGTCATTCCAAAGAGATTTGCATAACAGTTTTGTAACATTTTCTAACAATGGCGTCTATATATTTTTTTTGTTGTGTCTTTAAGTTGCAACAATTACGATCAAATATTCTAAGGTGGATTTCTTGGAAAAATATTACAGTATTAATTGACAGAGAGGACATAGATTGATAGATTCTTACATCTCCGGATGACAGTAATGCTCACTCAATGTGTCCAATTATACAATTGTCTTTCTTAGATGAAAATTGTACTAAAGAACTTAATGAGAAAGATTGATAATAATGTAGAAAATGTAAAAAATGTTTTTTTTTTCAGTAAGTCTTGCTTTAGTGTGCTAGTTCTGCTTATGCCACTTATTTTACCTCGACAAAAAATGGGGAGAAGATGAAAGAATAGGGCTTTCTACGTTAGTGCCTTGAATAAAGAAAACCTTTGAACATTATCTGGAGCTGTGCTGACATCTTGAGTGGAGCCATTGGGGGATGGGACACTGTGTATTGAGGGGTGCTTCACTTTGAAGCAGGATGCCAGTGCCTCAGCTGTTGCTCCGGTGACTGTGCAGTTACGCTGAGAAATTGTGGGATCACTCAGTGGTCAGGACCTTTTATAAAACTACTGGCAAGCACTGGTGCCTTCCATACTGGAATGAGAGGACACAAGTGATCATCTGTCCACATCAGCTCAGAAACTGGCCCACTGTTCCCATCCAACAACCCAGTCTTACAACTTTAGATAACATAAATTCCTAGCAAGTATTTTTGACACTTGGGAGTTATTTGGATTATCAACAGTTTCATGTGAAAATAAAGATGTATTCTTTACTCTTATTCGGAATACATTGGAAACATTCAGTGCCAACATATCTCTTATCTACTTCAAGTTTTCTTTATAGAAAGAAGAGTGTGAAGAATACAATTAAAAGCAACTGACGCTCATTTAGATGTCATATTTAGATGTCATAGTTTTGTAATTGGTGCATTCTTTGATGAAACTGTTTTGTTTTACTTTGTGTTGCTTTGATTAAAGTCAGATGATTTTTGTTTATTTTATCCCATAGATCAGTTTAAATAAAATACAGTTGAAAATGTTAATGGGATAAGAAACATAAGCAAAGGGGAAATGCCAGTGAATGAAGTGTGTCCTGATAAAATATATTCTGAGGATATGTCTTTGACTTATCCTCTAAAAAATTACGTGTTTATGTCATTCTGTACCCAATTGATACAACTACCTGCATGATTCTGAATCTAACCAGTTTTTAGCTTTGATCTGTTTAAAAACAAGATAGTTACAATCAAAATCTCAAATTAGAAAATTCAAGATAATAGTCTCCAAACAAGATGGAGTCTCCAAACAAGATGGAGTCCATCTTGCCTATGTCTTAAAGTTTCTTTCATGCACACTTTTGAATCTTAAACTGGAAACCAAAGTTGAAGGAGGACATGCACAGAAGCTGCACATGCTACATGTTGTTCCTGTGTGCCTTCTGGACACAGATATATCAGTGACAAAAATATAATATTTAAATTTAGCACATCTAAAATGGCAGAATAGAAATGTTTATGTGTATTCCTCATAGTGGCCGATTCTGTCTGAATGTTTCATAAAATAGAATCTCAGGGGAATGTTACGACTCTTTACCATCATCTATGCTGAACCGCTGATTGGCTGAAACCTGTGAAGCATGATTTGTGGTAATTAAGGATTACTTCAATTTGTTTCTAGATGGCAGCTCCTGTCAGAAAAACTCCTTCATTGGGATTTGATGTGAGGGATGACTATTGCCAGTCGCATTTTGCCGGTTATTAGTTGTTGGTGACAGGAATGCTGGACCATGGTGTTGAAAGAGCTGCTACTGCCTTTGGACGCAGTGTTTAATAGAACGCTCCTGTGTTTCACTGCGGCCTCTCACATAGTGTTGCTGTACAGCCGAGTATTTTATGGAAATTAAGCTCT